TGGTAAGTTTTTAATATGAATACTTTTATATTGGTTATGTTCCCCGTTTCGTGTGGGGTTACGTGTGCCATTTTGCTTACAAGCGCTTGCTAGCGCTTTTTTCTGCCAAACGCACCCAATGTGTATGTGCACGGCTAACACAATAACCAAAGTCAAACCTTCGTCACAGAATACAATAATAGTACTACGTACCTTCATCGTGAAATAGAATAACTATACCAACAAACATCCTTTTCTTTCAAAATCGAACTTAAAAAATATTAAAATAATAATAAATGGACTCTAGCTAAAATAAATTACTGTAGTATTTTAATAAGGATTGCCATTTGAAAACATTTTGGAGGAGAGTGGAGAGCTTACTTGATTTTAAATCGCAGAAATGATAATTATTTTATTAACAAAGCATAGCTCTATCTTCTAAACTTGTTGGACTCCAAGCTATACATGTTAATTACGAGCAAGGCTACTGATGTGCCGAACAGAATCTCCCTCAAACCCCTTTCGTGCAGTTACACCCCCCCCCACCTATTACTATCCTTTCCAACCCATAACCCTCCCCAATCCTCGTACGCTCCACAACCCTATGTACACTTTGATGTACATACACCCACCCCATAGCAGAATTCCTAAATGTGCAAGGTATGTTTGCCATCCCAACCAGAGAGATAAGAGAAATTAACATAAATTTATAAAATACAGCTCATAATCTCTTACTAACACGTTGGTAAATATTTTTAGCAAAATTTGAGGCAGTATTACCTATATATACTAAGTCTATAAGAAGAAAAATATATCTTTTACACTTTATGAATAATAATCATGAGATGAACATAGTGGAATACGGAATTCACTTCACTTGCCAGATATGGACATCCATGGAACGACATGGGGTAATCGATTCCTACACTGCACAAAACAATAAGGAAAAAATACATCGAGTAGGTACTTCTACCATATACATGTGAGCGTGTACTATACGTACGATACCCTGCTTGTTTTATGTGAATAATTTACACATTAGTAAAAGCTAAGTCGCAGCTTATACTTATATGAGTCTATATATCACAGGTCTCCAGTAATTTCTGAGAGAGTTATAAAGCTATTTAGTAAAGTAGTTAGTTATTATTGGCGTACTTTGCGTGCCCTAGAAATATATTATCACTCAGATATAAAGGTGCACGTGGTAAATGAACTCCTTAAACTGCAAAGAACAATTTCAGTAATGCTGCGGGGATTGAACTATGTTTGCTAGCATACACTGAAGCTACTAAGGCCTGTTAACCTATTGATGGGTATAAAGCCATTGATTTAAAGTCACATCTCGAAAGCTTCTATACGCTTTCGGAGGTCCTCTGTAACTGTCCACGCCTCACATCTTTATAAAAGTATGGGTCAGAAGTAATAGCGTAGTAGTTGAGTGCGCAGAGATCTTAAGAGGTTAGAGTAAGTCAGCTCAAATTCTAATTTCGCCCCCACTTCCCCGCGCGTCGTATGCTATGTACTGAAATATTTGTAATCACTAATACTGTAAATAGAAAGGTCGTTAGATACTTATTTCATTAGGTTTATCATATTTATGCCTGTTTCTTAAAGCCAAGCCAGCCGCTTCTTATTTTTATCACGGTTATTTCCCATTTTAATTTTACGTCGTACTGTTGCGTAATGTATATTCTGATCGTAAGCGACACAACTTCTCCCTTCAAAAGCCTAAGCGATACTAACGGAACGACAGGAATCCAGTGTTGCCAACGGATGAAATAGCAATCCGCCAGACAAGGCTCCTCAAACCACCAGAAAATCACTAACAAAAAGATGTCCCCCTCTGAAAACCACTAAAATTTCCACTAAGATATATGAATATGATTAAAGCAAAAAAAAAAGTAAAATTACGTTTATTATTAAAAATCTTATTGTTGTTAATATAATTTTTTTACTTTTAGTACTTAAAAACATCAAGTTGCTTAAGATATTATTTACATTAATAAATCGTCTTCAGATGAATCTGCATTTTCATTTCAGCCTTACTGTTATCCTTATCAGACTGATATGACTCCTTCGTCCCAATTTGTTTTATAAGATTTAAAGGAATTTCATAATTGTTGTAGCACTTTCCCATTAACTGTATACCGCAGCGTATTTTTTAGAATTGATTTCAAAAGAGTTAGCTTCATTCTGTTTCGCTGCTTGTTTTTTATAATATTCATGCTACTGAAAAGTCTTTCCACATCGGCATTCGAATGTGGCAATACCAAAAGTGTAATCGCAAATGTTGCTAATTTTTGAAATCGAGCAACACCTTATGCATCTTTGAATTTCAAGACTTTGCTCCAAAATTTTTTTGTATTTTTGTTTCATTCCATCTCAGTAAATGAATTTGCTGCCATTGATCGTAAATTTTTGCAATTAATTCTGTACTTGTTACGAACCGAGCCATTATATCAACCAGATTTTCTTTGTTGTGATGCAGGGCTTTTTCGAGACTTATACGGGATATTTGTTTCATGAGAGTAATATTTTCCGGCAATCTGTTTTTTATTTCGTCAATCAGACAACCTATAAACTGTATGCACCTATTCCGCAATACTTCTTCCTCTTCCCGTGGAAAACCTTTCTCTTTCATTTCTTGAATCTGTTTTTCGAATCGGAATCCCAGGTAGCATCTTTGGTCCAAATAGTCACGAATATTTTGAGTAAAGATATCTATCTTATGTGTAGGCAACGTTACTTTTAAAATTCCTAATCCGCTAAAAAAACCACTAGCCACTAAAAGCAAAAATTTGCCACTAAAAGGGGGGTTCCAAACCACCAGATTTAGTGGAAAATCCACTAAGGTGGCAACACTGCGGGAATCAAGCTCAAGACGCCGATAGTTTAGGTAATTTCTTTTTTACAGTGAAAAAAAAATGGTATTTTAAAAAAAGTAAATAACATAAGCACTGCTTTATAGTTAGTTCAGTTAGTATGCAAAGTTTCATGATTATATTTAAAGTATTTTATGAATAACAGCGGTTTATTGTTTATTTTGGAGGTAACTTTGGATTTTTTTTCTATCGAGAAAATTTTAAGAAATCGTGTTTTCGTCTAACATAATCACTAACATTAATCCTCAACTTTACCATATATTTATTTCAAAATTAATGCTGCAATATTTTCGGCATAACGAAGGATCTTGCTAAGCCATTTGACATTATATTTCCCCTTAAGACTGCGGTTTCATAATACGTTTTTCATTTTATTAAAGGTACTTCGAGCCATTTCAATTCGGTTCCTAATATCCTGGTCGCTGCACCACGTTTCGTTTAACCACGTACCTAAAAATATTTATATTTACGCACTCTTTCTAATTTTTGGCCTGCTACTGTGATGTTAAAGTCGTTAAAACAGTTCTTAGAAATGACCACGACTTTGTAGTGAACTCTATTCTTGAATGGTCTAATTCAAGAATGGTCCAAGGCAGTGAAGTTAGGTTGTAAATGGATAGTCGTATATAACTAATTAATTAGGTACTACATAAGTTTCAATTTGTTGATTTATATAAGTATAAAAGTATCGATTTTAATCTAAAAAACAAAATCGACAGTGTTAAAATTCAGACGAATGAGAATGAAATAAAATATCAGAAAACTAAGAATAAAAGACCATGGGTTTTACATCGTCCCTAACACGTACACTATAATCATCCTAAATGAAGATAAAAAAATTGCATCATGTATGCTCAGATTATAGAAAATCTGAAGTTTAAAACTCATCATCAACAACAATTTCTGACTTCGAATCAACGTTGTGTGTAACGGTGTAACTTGTTCCGACCTGTTATAGAGGCAGTTGATTCCTAATATAGTAGGTATAGCTAGGCGTTATGTGGTTCTGCGTTCACAATTTACGTACACTCGCCCACAGATCGGGTCTTTAATGGGGTGTAATATAGCAAGTACCGTGTAAGAAAATCGATACGGCTAAAATAATAAAACCGTATTCTCGACAAATCGACCACGTTGATGACATTCTCAAAGTCTATTCGCTAGGGTTGTCAAAAATTCTTCTTCTAAAAAACTATTTGAAACATATGAAAACTAAAACTCATTTCAGAATATAATTTAACATACAATTCAGACGATTTTTGTATATAGTAGATCCACGTTGCACCGCAAACGCTTGGAATCACCAGCGTCACCCATAGATCGATAATAAAATATAACTAAAATGAGAAACCCCGACATAAAAAATATTGTTGATCCTCAAATAGCTGAACTGATTTTCTTGAATAATACTAGTTTTTACGGATTTTATCATGTATATTTAACTTATTAAATACCCGACGTTTCGAGCACGTTACAGCACACATGGTCACGGGGAGGGGGGGGGGACTGAGATCTGAGATGTTCAACGTCCAGATGTCATAGTTAATCGCGGTTACCATAGATTAAAATTTAACTTTTGTTCCAATCTACACAGTATGAACTTATGGTATCGTGAAGTGCAGTTGTATGCTTGGGTTGGGATTTAATTTTATTTATTATAGGATCCCAAGCAGATGGTAGCACCCAGACATCTTTTTTATAGAAATTAGGATGTTTTTTGGTTTCAATAGCCTCGCGAATCATCTTTGGAAGGATTCGGTGTTCTTTAGCGAGGATTTGTGGTCTATCAAATCTGATTTAGTGACGGGGGCGATCCTGTATGTGTTCACAGACAGCAAGCTTCCCGTGAACACATACAGGATCGTCCCCGTCACTACATCAGATTTTATAGACCACAAATCCTCGCCAAAGAACGCGTAAATATAAGAAATCATTATGATTTTCTTGAATCATAGCTAAGAACACTTTCGATCAAGTCATTTTCCAAGCAAAGTAAACTAAGTCAAAACCGGTTCATCCGTCTGATCACTAAGATGCCGCAGACAGACACACCGATACACAAATACACACGTTAATAACACTCCTCTATTTGCGTCGGGGGTTAAAAAAAATTGGCTTTAACTTAAAATAGGGGCTCACCTTTCCCGCATTCGGAGCAGACTTTCTTTTTCTTCAAGTGCGTTATACTGTGCACCTTCAGGTGATCCCTTCGTTTGTATCTCTTGTTACAGATGGTGCAAACATGCGGCCTCATCTTCAGGTACAACGCGTCCTCTATAACTGGAATCGGTTTGATGGAGTTGTACACTTCGGACTCGTCCTGCGAGCTTTCTTCCACCTGGAAACGTTGTTCTGTTACTGTTGAAATTAGGCTCCGGTCATACTCGATTCGTCTCACTTAATGTACTTGTATTACGATCGATTTTTCAATCTTCAAAATTTATTACGTGGTAGAGCCATGCTGCAGCTATATTAGTAGTATAGTTGTAGCACGAATGGGTCGGCTCGACCGGGGAAGGACCACGCCCTCACAGAATACCAGCGTGAAATAGTAGCTTAACGCTGCTGTGTTTCGTATGGTGAGTGTAGAGAACCGGAGACCCTTTTTACTGAAACGAGGCATTCCACCTAAGTCCTCACGGATGACAACGCACCTGCATTTTGATTCGTAATCGAGGATAAATGTAGATGTCTATGGGCCACAGCAATCACTTACCATAAGGTGGGCTGTGTGCTTATTTGTCATCCTATCCTATAAAACAAAATCATCAGATAAAGTTTATTCGTAGGATATGTATGAAAAATATAATTAAATTGTTTGACTTATATATTTAGCCAGGTTATAATTTATATGGTGGAACTTTCATCTGACGGAAAAACAGCCCTGAGAAGGAATTAAGATTGCATCACTTGATAATTTTATACGTGGTAGACCAACGCCGTACCATATTAGTCACCACGAATGGATCGACTCAACCGGGGAAGGATCACGCTTGTACGCAATACCTTCGTGCTGCTTTGTTTCGTATGGTGGATGACGACAGTCTGGAGGCTTGTTTAGATGGTGCCTCTTTACCATCCACCCCGACTTAGTTCTCAGGGGAAGACAACATTTCTACAGTTTGATTCTTAATTGAGGATAGACGTAAGTGTCTATGGGCCACGTACTCCACTTACGATCAAGTGGACTGTGTGCTCGTTTTTCATCCTTACTCTACCAAAAATCATATAATATAATATTAATGAATACATGGTAAGACTACCTTCCGACGAAGCGCAAATAGCATACGCCTTACACAATAGATACTAAACGCACCCCTACAGTGACATATTGAACCCTATCTATGCATAAGCCAATTTCCAATGGAACATGCTGATCGTTCTATATGTAACGTATTCACCACTATGGTGGTAAATCCACAATCAACATGCTTTCTATATTGTTATTACATACACGAAGGGCGTGCAATGTATTCTCGGTATTAGAATGATTTGCTAATAATGTGGTAATTACAAAAACAATCATTAGCTGACGACACTACCTGAGGGTATAAATATCAAATTTCGTCTTGATAACTTCACTACTTCTTATGTAACCTGGATATGTCGACGCCGAGGATTCCGATACTGGCTGAGGCAACAAGGGGAGACTTGAAACTGAGGAGATACGACGAAGGGTTCTTTTTTTACGGTAAACACGCAAACTTGTGTCTTCTGGGGATTAAACTGGACTAGATTTAGTCGCCCCCAGTTCGAGATTTTGTTCAATAAAGTCTCGACTTCAGACACAAGTTTGTCCCGGTACTCAGCGAGGTTTTTCCGAGAAATATTGGCACGGCCGGTGTATAAAGCATCAGTGCTGTCGTCTGCATAGCAATGAATGCTACCATGATATCATTGATATACAGAAGAAACAGCGTTGGCGATAGCACGCAGCCTTGTGGAACACCAGCGTTAATGGCTAATCGGAGCATGCACCGTCTACAACGACCTTGATGCTCTGATCAGCAAGAAAGCTGGTGATCCAATTGCACAATTTCTCGGGAAGCCCATACGAAGGAAGCTTCGTAAGAAGAGTTTGTGCCAAACCCGATCGAAGGCCTTCGCTATGTCCAAACTAACGGCCAATGCCTCCCCATTGGACTCTACTGCCTTCGCTCATCTGTGAGTTAGATAGACCAAAAGATCACCAGCTGACCGACCACGGCGAAAACCGTATTGGCGGCACTAGTCAGCTGGTGATCCTCAAGGTACCTCATGAGTGGAGTTTGGACTCCGATTTTTAGGGGGTGACGAAAGTTTCAGAGGGAGGTCGGAAAAGACGCGTTAAAACCGGTGCTAACACTGGGGCACACGTCCTCAGCACAATTGGGGGGATTCCGTCAGGCCCACTCACTTGTGGATGTCCAGGGAGAGGAGTGCTTTGCGAACCGAGCGCTGTGTAAACTGCACTTCCGGCATGGAGCACTCACACCGCGGAATGGTCGGCGGCGTACTCGCCCCGTCATCGAGAGTCGAGTTGGACGCAAAGAAAGAGCCTAGAAGATCGGCTTTCTCCTTTGCGGTATGGGCCAGTGAGTCGTCCTCCCTGTGCAGAGATGGAAGAGATGGCTGACAGAAATTCCCCTGGACAGCCTTGGCGAGAGACCAGAATGCACGGGTTCCAGAAGGAAGGCGAACTAGTTTCTCGCCAATTCTTCCTATGAGCTCTGACTTTGCTTTGGCAATGACTTTTGAAGGACCTAGAGGCGGAATTCTTTTTTACGCTGGTGTTTACATTGATGCGTCATCCCAGGCTTGGTAGCACTCCTGCTTATAGCATGATGCTATTTTACAGGATCGACCAAACCATGGCTGGGATTTGCCTCCAATGGGCACCACAGAGGAAGGAATAAAAAGTTCCATGCCCTGAAGTACCACATCAGTGACAGAATCCGCAACAACGTTGGGAAAAATCATGAACAGATCTCCCCGCATGATCGGTTAAGCGTGAACCAAGCCATTCGGCGTGATGGGCGTTAAAGTCGCCGAGGATCACGATCTCTGCGGAGGGGATCTGCTGTATCAACGAGTCTGTAGCCATTTGGACGTGGTCGAACAGTCGGTCTGTTTCGGCATTACCGCTATGGAACCTATAGAGGCACCCCGTAGACGCGCGGATGGTCGTCGCTGTTTAAGCGTAGCCAAAGGATGGACAGGCCCGAACCTTCAAGTCTGCCGAGGCGTCGAGAACAGATGTCCTCTCTGACGTAAACGCAAACTCCAGCCCGAGGTACAAAGGAGTGTTCCAGTTTGTACCCGGGGTAGAAGAGATACGAGACATCAGCCGGAGAGGACACCTGCGTCTCGGTCAGAAAGAGCAGAGCCGGCCTCGCCGTCTCGAGATGGTAGTGGACGGCGTTTAGGTTAGAGTGAAGTCCCCTGATATTGCAGAAATTCACGGACAGCGTGGCAGGGGTCGCCTTGGTCTTGTTGCTCCGTTTGCCCCAGCGTTGTAGTCTTGAGCGGAATTTTGCCTCCCCCCCCAAGAATATGCGGGGCAGCCTGAGCACCCACGCTCAGAAGTGGAGAAACATGGTCGTGGATGCTCAGCGAGGGATTCTCCAGGGGTGCTGGTACCCTCCTGGGGTAGTCTATCACCATTTAATTCCGTTACCATGTTGATGGAGGGGGGGATTTGGGCCTCCGGCCACCTGCATTTACCAGACAAAACGCGGAAGCAGAGCTACGCCGGTATTCTGTGAGGTCGTGGTACCACCCCGGTTTGAGCCGGCCCATACGTGCAACAGCAAAGCTGCCACGTGGCTCTACCACTGTTACTGTTTGTTCTGTTATCGAAAATATTTTTCAGACATAAAAGTTTCCTTAAGATGTTTTCTTACACAAAGCACATGGCAAATCAGCACCTAAAAATTGCAGCACCAGCGGCAAGTGGGTATTGAACATGGGTTGAAATTTAAAACAAGCACTTCCACACACCACAAGCCACCACAACTCCTATACAACAGTGTGTAAAAATCATACAATATCGGTGACAGGTCGTCACTCTGCTATGTAAGATACTAAGCACATGGTAAATCAGCACTTATAACGGCGTTTAAAAATTTGGGCACCAGCGGCAGACAGGGATCGAATTTGGGTTGAAATGTATTTATTATTTATTTATTTATAACAGGAAAACTTACAGCTTTTAATTAATACTATATGGTATATAATGTAATTTACGAAGTAAGCCTATTAGAAGTTTTCACAGATGAGATTTACAACAAGCATTTAGCCAATACGGCTTCTTTACAACAGCATGCTAAAATTATACAATATCGGTGATAGGTCGTCACGTACATTTGCTTAGTAAGTTCGGAGGTTAGTGGTGTGCCTATGTGCGAGCGTGTGCGAACCGATTTCGCAAGATAAAGTAAGTATATTGTGTCGTAAGGACTACATCAGTATACACAAGCACATACTATATTCCGTAATCTATTCGTCACGTAAGATAATAGATAGCAAGTTTGTGCGTAGTGGAGACAGTAGAAAGCTGAGTACAATAAGATACAATGTTTCGCGGCTTTGCATAAATGTTACAGGATTTAGATTTATGGAATTCAATGGGTCTAAATAGGAAGTTAATTTTAGCACAGTTCGAAATAAAGGGATTATGCCTTACGAAGCCCAAGTTAGGCCTTAGAATGATTATTTTGTTTATGTAGAATTTGTTTGTGGTGAGAAAGAAATAAATAACTATTATTATTAAAAGTGACCACAGATCAATTACTTCTTTATATTAATAAAAAATCTTTATTCGTATGAGAGAGCGACAAACGGGCACACAGTTCATTATAGGACACAGTATATTTTTTATGGATGATAATAACCCCTGGAAAGGGGAGCGCTACCAAGCTATTTCAAATTTTTCTTGTGTTGTTAATTGTAAACATGATTGTAAGCTATTATTTGAAAAAAAAAAGGCCCGTTGGGTTTCTTGCTGGTTCTTCCCAGGACAGAGGTTTTTTTTGCGAACCAGTGGTAAATGAAAAAGGTGACTTTCAATAAGTATTGTTTATAATGTACATTGAATAAAAAAGTTTCTATTTCTGCTTAGAAATTGAATTAGATTTATAATCTCGTTGTAAGTCATATACCGGGTTATTTTGCAATAACCGGCCAAATTTGCAGAGAAGGTTCAGAATAACTAATATAGGATATGGTGAAGAAAAATAAATTGTAAAAAAAATGAAATTCAAAATGTGTGGTAAAGCATTATTTAACTAATTTTACTGCGCACGCACACATTCGTATTCGTAAGGGACGTTCGGTAGGCGAAAATGTTGTTGCCCATAAACCACATTCAACTTCAATTTGGAATAATTTCAAATAAAAGTAGAAGTCTTATTTACTCGTATTTTCAAGAACTGCAATAACGGTACATCATTATATTATTTATATATTTGAACTTAAGTTTAAAATGTGGCTACTCTTTTAAAAATAACCCAGTATTAGTATGCCGTATCCTAAGAGAATTTTTGTAAACGGCAAAAATTGACCGTCCGAAAACGCTACCTGCATAGGTAAATATTTATAAATGTATTGAGAGACAACGCTTGCGTCAGGTAAATGTGGGCGCGGGGACTTCCTGACCCTAACTTCCCCCTCTCGGATGAGCCGCATGTACAACGCTCCCCCCCCCCCTATTTCGGCCATAATTTTTATTTTCCTTCAGTTGTCCTCATATCTGTACAATAATATTGATAAATGTAGAAGTTTGTCTTTTCGTTTTGAATTCCAAAATTATGGTTACATAAAGCGAAAATGTAAAAAGTGAACAGACTACAGACGTGATGATAAAAAGTAAAGTCCAAAAACTAAAAAAAGTAAAATAATTTTTACATAATAACACTTCTGAGATTCTATATGCCGAGACTCTATTTTGCGTATATTCTTTTTCAAAGTATGTGTACCTACCGTAATATGGTTTGAGCAAAATGCCGCGCTAGTCGTTATTTGTGAGGTTTTTAGGAGCTATCCTACTTGTTATTAAAATATATATAACAACTTTTAGCTTTGATTTTTTATCAAAAATCTTTTTACCCTTTTGAGTGGACTAAGAAATATTACAAGTTCAAGGTAAAAACTAGGATATTGTCTAAATGGTTTAAGTAGGTACCTCTAGCCCAATTTTTTCACTTACTATATGGATGGAATTTTTCAAATTTATATGCGATCACCCCTAAAGACCTACAGTATAAAAAAGAACAATTTCGCGTAACGTACATGCAAAAATATACAGTTGAATTAAAACCTCATCCTCCTTTGAAGCCGGCTTATAAAAAAGAAATAAGACAGACAGCGCAGTGGATAATTCTGAAAAAGTTGGAGTTTCAAAACAAAGGGAGTATGCCGCAAACATAATTACCTCCATCTTAATTTCAGTTTCACCAAGGCTTCCAGATACGCTCGTGATAACAGGGTTCAAGTACTCGTCGTCTTCAGCCTCTTGCTTGATGGTGATCATGTCCTGTTCTGCGACCTCGTCCAACATATGGCCTAGGAATTGTCTGTTGTGTGTCTGCACATGCTTTTGAAGATGGTCCTTACGGTAAAATGCTAAAAGAAAAAAAAATTATCACTGCAGAACCGCTATTTATTTCCATTTTTAGAGCAGAGAAGAGTTCACCGTCGCGAATTTCACCTATACTCTAAATAATATTTTTAATTTCTTAGACTTCAGGTATGCTAGTGATGTTTTCTTTCAATTGTCAAGAAATTTACGATAAGCCAAATACAACTAGTCTCCCTCCTCCCCACTATACAGGCACACATACACACGCACATAAACGCGCACGTGCGCGCCAAATGTGTATATGGAAGAATTTAGTATGTAGGTCGACGTTGTGGGATTTCGTATTCCCTTCTATACTAGTATATTCTCTATAGATCGCGAGAGTTTATTATGAATTATCCCTCAAACGGTAAAGGGTTCAGTTTTCACTTTACGAGAGAGAGGTTATATTTGAATGTAATCCTAGGACGATGCATATTCATCATCATTATCATGATTGCAGCCCTTAACAAGTCCTCTGCTGAATAAAGGCCACCCCCAAAGAATGCCACATAGCACGGTCTTGAGCCACCTGCATACATCGACTTCCTGCATGTCGTCACTCCATTTAGTGGGGGGTTCGCCCTATACTTCGCACATCAGTACGAGGCTACCACTCAAGAACCTTTCTTCCACATCGGTTGTCGGTTCTTTGATCATATTAACACAATTAAAATGGAACTTCACGTACAACCACGTTCAATTATTAAAAATGTATTTGTAAGCATCAACTCATTATCATCGTCATCACAAGACTGAGAGAGGTCTCTTTCTGTAGACCGATTTTTCCAGCAAGAAAGGAATTATCATTCATCGCGGTTGGTATGCGGAGAAAGCGATCATAGTATTTACTCTTATAAGATGCCTTACATGAACGAAGATAAAGGGTATGTTCCAAAATAGAACCCAGTGTACTGTCCAATGCAAATGACGTCATGAATCGACGCTATACTGGTGATTCGTTCCAAAACATAGGACAGTATATGACGTCATACATTTGCGCCATATTGGAAAAGTGTTGGCGATTATTTTGTCATTTTGTGCTCCAAAAATCATTATATCCTCCTAATGGAGATACCAACAATTATTCTATAATTTTTTGTATTTGAATAAATAAAAACAAGTTCTGGAATGCTTCATTCAGAGCACACACAATTAAAAATTGTTTTATTATGGCCGGATATCCGATACAATATGGCGGCGGCACGCCAGTACAATATAGTGTCAATTGCTTACGTCATTTGTATTCGGCAGTATACTGAAAACGTTTCGGAACATACCTCAAAAATTCCTTAAAAACTCCCGTCGCTAGACGCTAGGAAATAGTTCTAAGCGTAAATTTTACATACTATGTACACGTAGCTATGTCATATATAAATAAATCATATCCTATAAGCTCTAAAGTCTATTTTTGCACTACGTTATCTACTGCCAAGTTTACAATATCTAGATGGAAGATATCTTAGAAAGTACGCAAGTATACAACTTACTTTTGCCACAAACTTTGCACTGGAGTGACTTATCGCCTTTGTGTATAGAGAGGTGTATATTGAGGTGCTCTTTGCGTTTGAAGGCTTTATCACACACTTTGCATATGTGTGGCCTCACCTCCATGTGCTCTTGAGTGTGCCGCTCCAGGTGCTCCTTGCGTTTCAATCTAAGAACAATTATTCAAACATAACAGTCAATGTTGATGCCAAATAAGAAATGATTACTTACAAATACGTAATAAAATAATTTTACTAAAAAGTGTAGTAATTCAGTATATGATCTTATTTTATACTTTTTAGTTCCTTTAAGTCGGTTTTAATTTTGTATCAAAAGTTATTTTTTCTACTCTTTTGAGAGGACTTAGAAAAATATGACCATCTCAATATCGTCTAAATGTTTTTTTCTTAAACATTAAATATTTCATCACCTATTTTGCTAGCGTTACAGGGGGAACTTTCTTCGAAAATTTATATGGGACCACCCCTGAAATAATCTTTTTAAAAAAATATAAAGAATCATCAAAACGATTTCACAATTGACGAAGACATCGCGTAACGTAACATAGAAACAAAAGACACACAATTGAATTATAAACCGTTTTTTTAGAAATCAGCTAAAATGGTGAATGTACTTTAATTTTTCCTAAACAATAAATAAGAATTTAAATAGATTTATATTATAATACCTTAAGGTCATGTGGACGCCAAAAGCAGATTTTTCACGCTTTATAGGTGCGCAGAAAAGCAATTTTTGTCATTAAAAACTATGAATCCACATTTTTTTTAAACTCATTATGAAAGTTAAAGATTTTTCTTAGTGAATTATGTTAGCCAAAACACGATTGACACATTTTGACTCGATAGAAAAAGATCGCAAAGTTTCCTCAAAATCTACAATTTTAGGTACGTCCACTAAGTGAAAAAATTGTTTCATTCGAATGTAATGAAATCAATTTCAATTACATTCAGGCTATGTGTACACCAGTAAATACGTGAGTGAATTATGGGTTTATTTTTCAATAAAAGAGTATAATATAAAATTTTAAAAAGAAATATCAAATAAATATTGTGCGATTAAATATCGCGCGAGCCGGCCAAACAGCCGCCAGTCGCACCTATAAACTAAAAAAAAATCAGCTTTTGGCGCCCACTTCACCTAAACAACTTTGATAGAGCGAAATCAAACAGGAGATGGGCAGAAGCGTCTTCCTAATAACTTAACTTAAGAATAATGAAAAACGCTGCTTTTGCGAACTTAGCTGACAAGTATGGCAACTATGGCAAATATTCTCCCTAGTAGGCAATCTATTGGGGAGACTCGTTCAGAAAGGAACGTGTGATGGGATTTAATGATAATAAATATAAAGACGTACCGGAACCTCGGAACCTTCGTACTGAGAGCCCTTTATGACGCACTAGTCAGGAGTCATTTGGAACATATAGGGTCCGTATGAAGAAAAGTATAAGGTCATGTTGGAGCATGTTCAAAATAAATTTACCGAGGAACTTGTACTTTAAGCTTTACGGGGTAATATCCATTTCAAATTATGACTGCCGTGTGATAGCGACCCAATTCAAACTTTGCCGAAATTAGAATTTGAGTCGATCGGAACAGTTCTCGTTATATTTTTATCAAAATTTTTACTTAATTAAGAACTATTTTTAGAATACTGGCGAGGAATTTAAATCGACCATGTAGTGACGAAGAAAGAATATCCACAACCCTATTTCGCCCCGCGGGTGTCGTGGGAGACGACAGAGAGAACCATGCTGAGGTTATACTATGGTTGGTTGTTACACGAATGAGTCGGCTCGACTCAGGACCACACTCTCTTAGAATATCAGCTTAAAATAGCAGCTTAATACTGCTGTGTTTTGTATGGTGAGTGTAGAGATACGGAGATCCTTTTTTAATGGAAACGAGGCATTCCATCTTAGTTCTCAGGGGTGACAACGCATCTGCGTTTTGATTCTTAATCGAGGATAAATGTAATGTCTATGGGCCACAGCATCCACTTACCATCAGGTGGACTGTGTGCTCGTTTGTCACCCATATTCTATAAAAAAAAAAGTATAGTTGTAGCACGAACGAAAGAAATACAGAATAGTCAGCTTCGGTACTGGCCCTATTATGTATTATATAAGACATAACAGTGGACTGTCACTGGTGATAGTCCTTCTCAAATGATTTATTTTTCTTGGAACGTAAAAACACAAAATCCCCCGGTACCCTTGTTCCGGTCACCCCGGTTTTTAAAAATCGAGTTCTTATCAGATCTCGACATTTCGAGGTCCTAGGAAGCTATTCTGGCTATTTTTGCGATGATGTCCGTATGTCAGTATGTGTGTGTGTGTATTTACTTTGACACCCTTGTTTTGATCAATTCTATAATCTAATCAGCTCTTCTACTTACAAAAAGACGTCGATTGTCGTGAACCGCATTAAAATTGGTTTATTCGTTCGAGAGATATCGTTGACGAAAGAAATCTCGAAAAAGTGTTTTATCAAAATAACTTGAAAAATTTTCTTCAAATCAATAGTTTTTCGTTTTTTGGTTAAGGGGGAATATAACCTCAAATGGCTTATCAAGATCCTCCGTTATACCGAAAATATTGCAGCATTAATTTTGAAATAAATATATGGTAAAGTTGAGGATTAATGTTAAGTACTATGTTAGACGAAAACATGATTCCGCAAAATTTTTTCGATAGAAAAAAAATCCAAAGTTACCTCCAAAGTGAACAATAAACCGCTGTTATTCATAAAATACTTTAAATAAGATCATGAAACTTTGCATACTAACTGAACTAACTATAAAGCAGGGCGTATGTTTTTTTTTTTTTTAAATAACAAAAGAAATTACCTAAACTATCGGCGTCCCGAAGCTTGTTTCCTACCGCCCGGTTCCAAGCTTCAGGACGCCGATAAAAAATACTTTTTTTTAACTTATTATAAGCCAATGAACTGTAATCCTAACTGATGGTAAGAGAAAGCCAAAAAAACAAGTTTATAACAACAAAAGCTTATCATTCTTGCCTTGAACAAGCTAATTTGTAAGTAATCGGACGGAAAGAGACAGCCGGCGAATTAATGCGCTCATTTGTTTTATGATTACGATGGGTGCGTTTGGCAGAAAAAAGCGCTAGCAAGCGCTTGTAAGCAAAATGGCGATCGTATGCGGTAAGCGCCGTCAAATCGTAAGTAGCTATTTTCCTCCAGGACACGATGTTAGTTTTAACCGGGGAACCTAACTTAATTTAAATATATGTTTGTAAAGTATTCATATTAAAAACTTACCAATCATGAATTTTTAATAACATGTATATGTTTATTCACGTTATTATATTACTTATAAATAATATTGCACAAAACAATTTATAAACTCTACTTCAAAACAAACAAATTAAATAAGCAAAATGGCGGATTGTGTCAGCGCTACTGAAGTAGTAATCGTGTCCTGGCCGAAAACTATTTCAGCGCTTGTAAGCGCTTGCTAGCGCTTTTTTCTGCCAAACGCACCCGATAACATAAGACGACACAAATCGGTTGGTTCGAAATCCGAATGTGTAGAATATCGACAAAGGGGTGGAGACCCGCCGAGCCTCTGGATGTCCCAATGGTGGAAACGGTAAGGTCACCTCACCAGGAAAATCATATAATTCCTGCGCACACTATCATACATAATGCAAACACACACGAATCTGATGTACGTACTTATTTTTTTTTACGTAACGTATGTATTGCGTTATTCTATAAATGTTACTTTGTAAACAAGCTTATGGTTAAAACAATATTGAAAAAACCCAAAAACGTTAAAAAGTTTAGTCAAAAAAAAAACTTTCGCTCCCTTTTTAACCGATTTAAAAAAGGAGGAGATACTCAATTCGACTACGATGTGTGTGTTAACTCATAAATTTTTTCTCGGTGAACCGATTTCGATGAATATTTTTTTATTTGAAAGCTGGTGCTTCTTATCGTATCATATGAACTTAATCAGGGTGTAAGCAGAAGTTTTTGAGATATCCTTAATAATTTATATTAAAGTCGGTTGTACAAAATTTTTAGTTTTATCACTTGTTTGTATTTGCAGACGCAATAGCCTATGTCACTCCCACAATCAGACATTTCACATGTTAAAATCCATCAAACCATTAGGCTACAGAGCGTGCCAAATAAATAAACATACATACATAACCTCAATAGGTGAGTATTTTTCTCTTTCTGGAGCAGTCGGGTAATAATTCCCGCATTGTTTTTTTTTTATAGAATAAAGTGACAAGCGAGCACACAGTCCACCTGATGGTAAGTGGATGCTGCGGCCCATAGACATTCTACATCTATCCTCGATTAAGAATTAAAATGCAGATACCCTGTCACTCCTGAGGACTAAGATGGAATGCCTCATTTCTAGTAAAAAGGGCCCCCGGTTCTATACACTCATCATTCGAAACACAATAGCATTAAGCTGCTATTCTACGCTGGTATTCTGTGAGAGCGTGGTCCTTTCCCGGTCAATCCGACCCATTCGTGTTTATTGCTGGTTATTCTCAGAACAGAGATTTTTCCGTACCGGCTTAGAAACTAAAATGTTTTTTGGATAAGTATTATTTATTCTGCTCTTAGTGGCCATGAACTGAAGTAGACCTTCACTTCAGTATAATAAAAGAAATATTTAGTAATAAATATTGTATTCTGTTCTGTAACCACAGATACACATACTTAAAACTATTAGTTACTTTAATATAATATGATAAATACCTACTTTAAATTTAAAATACATGATGTTCAGTATTGCAGCATTTAGTTAGAGACGGATATCCGTAATGTCGAGGTTTTGAATTATATTATTCAACTCCTAATACTAATTATAAAAGTAAAGTAAAGTTACAGCCTATATACGTCCCACTGCTGGGCTCAGGCCTCCCCTCATTTCTGAGAGGGTTTAGGGCAAGGAAGTTTCCGCCGCGCTGCCCAAATGCGTGTTGACGAACTTCATATTTAACTAAATATTTTTTTTCTTATTCCTCAGACATGCAGGTTTCCTCACGATGTTTTCCTTCACCGCCGAGCACGTGGTAAATCAGCACTTAAAATTGCAATCAACAATTTCATTGGTGCCGGCGGGGATCGAACCCGGGTTACTCGCGTTCTGTTATATTTACAGCGAGCGTTAACCATCTGTGCTACCACAGCTCTTATAATATACTAATTATAGATGATACTAATATAATACATTGTATAATATAATATACAGTAAAGTATAATATAATATAGATATTATTTCTATATATAAAAATCATCTGCCGTCCGTTTAGTTTCGTTAAAACTCGACGGATTTTGATTAAATTTTTTGTGCGTATTTGAGTGGCTCCCTAAATGGTTTAAAAACTCACTTGGACTCAGTGAGTGGCGCTGTTGTCGAGGTACAGAAATCACCCGTGCAAAACCGGGGCATATCTCGTACTAAATAAAGTGGCGACTCCGTGGCGCAGTGGCTTAGCAATGAGTGGCTGCGCTGGGGGTCGCGGGTTCGAATCTCGCACGGAACAAGTATTTGTATGGCCTACAAATATTTGTTCCGGATCTGGATGTTTGTCCTTGTGCAATTTATGTTTGTAAACTGCCGCTACGATACAAGAGAAAATCTTAGTGTAGGGGTAACGTTTTTTTTTTTTAAAAAAGAAAAAAAAAGAAGAAAAGGAAGTTTTTATTGAGGGATTCTAAATAGCTACTGCGTTAGTTTCTTAGCGAATGAATTTAAAAAAATATCTTACCCTGCCCCACAGATTCCACACAAATATCTGTACTCTTTGGTATGCTTGCAGAGGTGCAGTTCCATTTTCTCTTTGTCGTCGTATGACGCAGGACATTCCACGCAGCTGTAGTGCGTGACGCCATCCTCGTCCTGCGTCACCCGCGCTAACTTGCTCCGCGACAGGAGGTTTCGTCTTAGAATTTCTTCCACAGAGGCCATATCTGTAAGATATTTCTCAAATAAAAAAAGGTTGATGAATGTCTTTTTTAGCTACCTTGAAATGATTCAATAGAAATCCTAATATTGATTTCAGGCGATGTGGACCCGTCCTCCCCCCCCCCCTCTTTGTGAAGAAGAGTTACTAAGGAAATAAAATGAAACATTTTTTATTTCACCCTGGTAATCATTACTTAGCATCCCGTTGTGTGAAAGGGCGAGGAAAACAAGGAATAAGACTAGGGCGTGGAGGGTTATCCTATAATCCTATTGTGAAGGGATTGACACGAAAATAATAGTTTTTAACATATTTTGTAACTAATAATTAAGTGACAAATAGGTGTGCTACAACTAGTTGCAGTCAAATTGCGGTTGGATGAAGTGTATGTATTTAATTTATTCATGTACGGTAAGTCTTTATCTGAGTTCATTTAAAGTTACACATGCTTTTTGAGTAAGTTCATATAATGTATAATTTTTTATAGAATAAAGGCGACAAACGAGCACAGAGCCCGCGTGATAGTAAATGGATGCTGTGGCCCATAGACATCTACACTTATACTCGATTAAGAATAAAAATGCAAACGCGTTGATACCTCTGACTCTGAGGTCTTTTAAGAAATGCCTCGTTTCCAGTAGAAAAGGTCTCCGGTTCTCTACACTCACTACATAACAGCATGAAGTAGCTTTCTTACGCTGGTATCACTTATAGCTGGTAATTAAAACCATAATATGGCTGCAGCATAGCTCTAGCATATGTGAAATATAATATAACCCAGCTTTTTACCCGCGACTTCGCTCGCGTGGGCTTCAACTTAAATGCTATTCCGTGCCAAAATGAACAAAATTCGATCGAAAATTCGTGTCTTTCAATGTATCCATTATAAAGGTTAAATAAAAATTGCATTATTTACATTTTACTCCCTATATTCATTCATAATTAAGCTTAATTTAGTTTTAAGAAAATAATGATGAATTTCATGATCGCCAATAAGTTTTGTTGTGTGGTATTATATGTTTATTTGCGATACTAGTTTCATATAATTGGCCCCAAAGAAACAAGAGACGGGCAGCATCATCTACCTGATAACAGATCCAAATAATAAAACCTGTCTTTGCCCATCCGCCTGCAACGTGTGGCAACTACAGCGAATATCTAGCCTGTTTGACAACCTATGTGGGAAGTTTATGTTCAGTTCAGTCGACTGTACATAGATCTGGCAGGCTATAACGAAAACTACGCTGAGTTCTACTTATCTTTGTTACCCTTAATATTCACGATAAAATGAAAACAAAAATTAACATCTCCGAAAATATGAAAAAAAAAACTGCATAATTGCCCCATTAAAAGTACAAAAATAGCAGTCTATATAAATTCCACAACGAGGAATGACTTCAACTGGGGGACTTCCTTAGATATGCAGGTAGTATCCTCACTATGTTTTCCTTCACCACCGAGGACGTGGTAAATCGACACTTCAAATTGCTATTAAAATATATCGAATCTGGGTTGCTTACGAATTATGAAATTTACGTTTGGATCAGTTTTATAACCACCTTTGCGAAATAAAATAAAATAGAGCTTTGTTTAAGTAAAATCTGCTTTCATTCATGATTAAAATATTTTTTCGCAAGAGCCTGTTCATTTACATATTATACTTATGTGTTAGAACTGAAAATCTACATTTACTATTGTACTATAATATTTTTGCTTATTCATTACTTATAGCGCAAATATTTTTTTTACATTGAGGATTTGATTAATTGACACAGTCACTTGTTGCAATGATAAGATCAGATAAACTTAGGATTGAGGACATCCGCAGTAGAACTAGAGTAACCGACATAGCCCAATGGATTAGTAAACTGAAGTGGCAATGGGCCGGCCACATAGCTCGAAGAACCGATAACCGATGAAGAAGAAAGGTTCTCGAGTGGCAGCCTCGTACCGGCAGTGTAGGGCGTTCCCCCACTATGTGGAGTGACGACCTGGTGCAGGAAATCGATGGATGCAGGTGGCTCAGGCTGTGGCATTCCTTGGGGGAGGTCTACATTCAGCAGTAGACTTATGAAGGGCTGTAATGATGATGATGATGTATGCACACAGACGGGCACCTTCAATTTTACATAAATTGAGTCAATATACTTGTTTCTCTTTTTCTAATTTTATTTTCAAATAAGGCAAAAAGAGAAACGTATCGAAAGATGCTGCGTGTAATTTATGCGTAGAGTATTAATGACAAGTGGTCAACTTTGGTTCTATATTAAGTACTACGCCAAATATGGGTAAGTACATTAGTATCTTCTAGTTTACTAGTAAAATGACATTCCTATTTTAATAGTATTATGTGTTACGTTATTGCATAAGATATGACGTCCTAAATCTATGGTGATTTCGTTCTGAATGATATCAACAATCGACATCGATATACTCGTTTATGTTTTTTTATTTATTTTTTAAATTACTTTATCATAATAATTATTCCTACAATAAGTTGTTAGCAGGAAATCGATGGATGCAGTTAGCATAACACCGTGCTTTGAGGCATTCCTTGCGTTCTTTCTACGTTCATCAATGAACTTGTAGAACATCTACATAATATAAATATGGTTTGTACCCAAAAAATAATAAGCAAAGGAGCAAATTTTTTTTATATGATTTACTTCTTTGTTAACAGAGTTCCGTACCTCGAAAAGAAAAAGAAACCATTAAAAGATAATTGTTGTTCATCTCGTCTATCAAGACCCTTTTTCTCAAAATATTGTAAATTATGTTAAAATATCGGTTGGAGGGCCATATATTGATAACGGTGATAATGATGTCTACAATAAAAATAATAGGACTAGACTTTTTATTATTCGAGCGATCAACTAAATTGTTTTCTAAATCAACTGACGATGATTATATTTCATTGAAAATATTTGTGTCGCATTCTTTAAAAGGAATAGTTAGTGAGGTATGAATATTAAGTATTGACAGCCACACACGGTTCATAAGCCAATTGGGATCCCTTTTGTAATTCCAATTTTATATGCTGATTTACCACTTGCTCAGCGGAAAATAAAATCAACGTGAGAGCTATCTATATCTGCTTGGATGAAAATATTTCAAAATCATGAAGTGAAGGCAGTTAAGGTGTGTTAGATAATCCATCCCGTGTGAGTATCGTAAAAAGCGACAGAGGCAAATGAAACTCATGACAGGCAGCTTATGTTCCTAACAAAAACACGGAATAATAAAAAATTGCGGTGGCCAACACACTTGCTAAGAGAGGGAACTATTACAAATATTCCTACTATGTTCCGCAGTAGACTTTGGATAGGCTGTAATTAATGAATTAATGATGGATAATATCCTGAGGGAGCAGAGAGGAAAAGGGAAAATACGTTCGTAATCGATTTATTGGTAGTTTTTTTTAAATTTAGAATTAGGGTGACAAACGAGCACACAGTCCACCTGATGGTAAATGGATGCTGTGGCCCATAGACATCTACACTTATCCTCGATTAAGAATCAAAACGCAGATGCGTCGTCATCCCTGAGGACTAAAATGGAATGCCTTGTTTCCAGTAAAAAGGGTCTCCGGTTCTCTACACTCACCATACGAAACACAACTGCATTAAGCTACTATTTTACGCTGGTATTCTGTGAGAGCGTGGTCCTTCCCCGGTCGAGCCGACGAATTCGTGCTACAACCATAATATAGCTGCAACGTGGCTCTAGTTGTGATAGAGCAAGAAAAGTGGAAGCAGGTCGCGGTTATTATACTATCGCAGCAGTGCACCCTGTGTACGTTCCGGTATCAATTCGTAATGACAATGGATATATTTTAAATTACCACCATAAGGCGAAATTCCACATTATTCGACTACATTTTTGTTGTAAGATGCAGATGAAGCTTCTGGCAACATACTATATAAATAAGTACTTAGTATAAACCGCATTAGTGAAAATCCTTAATTTTACTAAGTCAATAGACTAAGTGAATTGATCGTTTATTGCTTCGCTAATGGCACATCAATAGAGATATCTATGGAATGGAAAAACGACAACAACCTTCTAAAAAACAGAAGGTAAGAATAATATAGCTATCTTATTTTGTACCTCTTAAGGCGGTACCCTGACCAAAACCCAGCAAAAGTGCGTTTTTCAGAGACTATTATCTCATTAGTTATGAGAAATAAGCTACATCTAAAAGCACATTATTAATGTTCGATATCCTATCATCACATTCCACGTTCTAATTTGTTTTTATGTGTTATGAATACATTTAAAATCTACTTTTAAAAAATGACTAAAATTATTGATTACATGCATCTGTTGCTAAAGGAAATGCTCTAATCATTTGGGAATTACACTAATGGATAGATAATTTAAAAATCTATATTCTACACGTTTTATTTAATTTTTTAAGTTCGCTTATCTTTTTTTAATTGAAATAATTCCAAATATTCGGGCGTATTTTTACGCGATATATTTTAGCGAGAGCGCGTGGATTGTATGGGACCGAACGCTCAAGGTCTCTCGCTAGGGGAACCGTCTTAAGAAGTCTGTATAAAGAGTACAACTTCAAGATTTTTTTAGGGTTCTCTCTAGTAATCACTCCAAAGATCGGTCAAAATAATCGCTGACACATTTGTTAGTAGAAAAAACTAATAGTGAACTAAAACATAAGTAGTGGCGGTGTAAGAATATCAACTACCCCATTGCATCCCGTGGCTGTCGTCCCGTGAATTAAAACTAAATAATTAAAAAAAAACTGCGGATAACCCTACCCAGCGTGGCAATTATGGCAAAAATTCCCCCTTTGAGGCAGTCTATGGGGGAGGTTTATTTTCAGCAGTGTACTTTTTATAGGCTGTAACGATAACAAGTGCAAATAGTCATCAAAATAATAACAATTATAATAAAGACATTATTTTCCAAAAATCCGCTTAATTAAATACAATGACGTGTCTTATCTGGATTGAAGAGCACCTCCCGCCCTCCCTCAATTGCGTGG